TTACAAGTATTTGCAGAGGGCAGACAATCTCGCGGTCTCATGGAACTCACTTTGCTGGCGCTTGGAGAGGTTAAGATTAATCACTGCCTGAGCCTGAGCCACGAGGCGCCCTCACAGGGAGAACACAGTGAGACCGGTGGTGGCAGATTTAATGTTCGGAAGGGGCTGTGCTGCAATTTCTATGCCTTTGGAAAAGACATGATGACCTTCTAAACCTTCTAACTGCCCCCAGGAAACTGTCTGTCTGGCCGCTTGTCTGTGATCTGTCTAGCCAGGTATGCCGGCTAACTGGTGAACTCGGGACGCTAAATGAAAGATGAAAGGAAGACTCATGGACACAGAAACAAACTTATGGTCACCAAGGGGACAGTGGGGGAAGGGATACACTAGGAGTTTGGGATGTGCAGATACACATACTGTATATAAAATAGATAAACAACAGGTCCTACTGCACACCACAGGGAACTACAATTTCTTATAATAACCTATAATGGAAAAGAACCTAAAAAGAAAAAATATGTCTGTCTATGTCTAATTGAGTCTCTTGGCTGTACACCTGAAATGAACATTGTAAGTCAACTACACTTTAATTTAAATTTTTTCTTTCTAAAGGTGAAAGGGAGACATTCTACAAAACACCTGCCCAGTGCTCTGTAAAACTCTCAAGGTCATCAAAACACAAGAGGAGTCTGAGAAATGAGGACAGCCCAGAGGTGTCTAAAGGGAGGAGGCCACTAAGTATGGATGTAGCATCCTGGATGGGGTTCTAGGGGACAGACGGGAACAGAAGAGAGACATCAGGTGAAAAGTGAAGGAACTAAAAATGTAAGGTCTTAGGCATAAGAGATTCATCAAATTCTGTAACTGTGACATATGGACTTCAGTAAGATACTAACAACAGAGAAACTGGGTGCAGAGTACGTGGGAACCCTCTGTCGCCTTCACAACTCTTCTGTAACCTGGAACTGCTCTAAAATTAAACGCCTGTTTGTTTGTTTTCAAAAATGACATTAAATCATTCACTGTCACCTCACACCTGTCAGAACAGCCATCATCAAAAAGACCAGGAATAACAGATGTTGGCAGCAAAGATGTGGAGAAGAGGGAAGCCTTGAACACTGTTGGTGGGAATGTAAATTGGTGCAACCACTGTGGAGAACAGTATAGAGGTTTCTCAAAATGGGTACCTAAAAAGAGATCTACCATATGACACAGCAATCCCATTCCTGGGCATGTATCTGGAGGGAACCTTAACTCAAAAAGACACATGCACCCCATGTTCACAGTAGCACTATTTACAAGAGCCAATATATGGAAACAACCTAAGTGTCCATCGACAGAGGACTGGATAAAGAAGATGTGGTGTATTTACACAATGGAATACTACTCAGCCATAAAAAAGAACAGAATTTTGCCATTTGCAACAACACAGATTTGGAGGGCATTATACTAAGTGAAATAAGCCAGAGAAAGACAAATACTGTATGTTATCACTTAAATGTGGAATCTAAAAAATATAACAAACTAGGGAATACAACAAAACAGAAGCAGACTCACAGACACAGAGAACAAGCTAGTGGTGACCAGTGGGGACAGGGGGTTAAGTAGAGGTGGGGGGAAAGGGTTACAATGGGACTATATGAAGTCATGTGTCTGAAACATCTGAAAATTGTAAAAGCATGATAGGATTTAAAGAATCTTCCATTCAATTAAAAAAATATATGTATGACAAAAATGACCAAAAAATAGAACTTAAAGAAAACTTGAGAAAGGAAAAAAAAATCCACAATTATCACTCAATGCCAAGTAGCTCTGCAGCCCACCCCACCCCCTCATCTGTGTACTGCGTCCTGTTTATTTCGTTCCTGGTGGAAAGCCTTATGTTCTGCATTTCTGGAGCCTTCTGCCTTTGAAATCAGTCACCTGAGATGGTGTTTCAGTGGGGCTGGGAGGGCACCTGCCTCCCCGTGTATAACCAGTTGAGCAACTGGAATGGAACGTTTGGGACTGTGGGCACATTCAGGGTGACACGGGTCATTAGCCAACCTCGGGGTTTCCCAGGGGAGACTACCTTATCACCATGCCCCCGGGCTCCCAAAACTTTTACTGCTCGAGTCATTACATGGTGAAGAAAGCTCTCTTGCAGGAAATTGTCTTCAAAATTAACCACCCCTGGCCCTGCAAAACCAAACCCCAAAACACTAATAAAAACTGCACCACCACAAAAACCAAACAGCAAAATGGCCTCACAACGCTCCAATGAACCCACATGGAAATAGGTGACAACTTAAATTCCTCTTGTAAGGACTGAAGGGAGGGGAATGCTGCTTTGCAGATTTCAGCAGTGACTCACACAAGCCAGGGCGAGATGCCCTCACCCAAGTCCCGAGTGTGATCTGACTGCAAATGCAGTGTCTGTCCTCTTTCTAGTAAGAAGGAGACAGGCCTGCCTTGCTCTGTGTTCCACAGTTTTCTCCATCAAGGGTGTCTTCAAGACCAATTTTACATCTTTCCTATTCAGCCATCCTGCCGGCAGGAGCTTACTCAATCCTTAAGTTTTAAAATTTATTTTTATTGAAGTAGAATTGATTTACAATGTTATGCTAGTTTCAGGTGTACAGCATAGTGACTCAGTCATACACATATTTTTTTCAGATTGTTTTCCGTTATAGGTTATTACAAGATATTGACTATTGTTTCCAGTAGGACCTTGTTGTTTACCTATTTTACATATAATCATGTGTATCTGTTAATCCCAACCTCTTTTAATTTATCCCTCCTTCCCCATCCCCTTCCCCTCTGGTAAATTTGGATCACTGTAAATTTGTTTCCTATGTGAATCTGTTTTGTAAATAAGTTCATTTGTATCATATTTTAGATTCCACATAGAAGTGATATCATATGGTATTTGTCTTTCTCTGTCTGACTTACTTCACTTAGTAGGATCATCTCTAGGTCCATCCATGCTGCTGCAAACGGAAGTACTTCATTCTTTTTTATGGCTGTGTAGTATTCCATTGTATAAATATACCACTTCTTCTTTACCCACTCATCTGCAGATGGACTTTAGGCTGCTTCCATGTTTGGCTATTGTAAATAGTGCTGCTGTGAAGATTGGGGTGCAGGTGTCTTTTCGAATTGTGTTCTTGACAATACTCTGCTCATGTTGTTAGCATGTCTGCTTATTTGCTCAAAACAAAACAGAGAATCAGGGAGGAGCTAGAAGGATTAGGTAGGGCTCCCCTGGCCTCATACCAATGGGAAACTGCATGGACAAGGCCCTCAAGAGGCTGAAGCAGCTTTGGGCTGGGGGGCAGAGAACCAACTCTGCAGAGCGTGGGATGTCCACTCTGGAAGCACCCTGATCTGGCTAGGCGGGGTCCGGCGAGTTTGCAGGGAGACCTGCCAAGAGGAAGCGCAAGACCTGACCGACAGCCACCGAGGCACAGGGAGGCGCGGCTCCCGCCAGCCATGCCCTTGGGCGGTAGGTCCTGGCACTGAGAGTGACGGCCCACCACCAGGACTGGCGGGACCGCACTCTGGGGCCTCGAGCCTGGATGCAAATTCAGCAAGGTCAAGGTTGAGGACCACCGCCAAACCACCTCCATCTGGCCAGGTCTCAGCACCTCCCACCTGTCTCGTCGTGACCACCCCCCCAGCCATGGACCTCCCCCTGGGGTCTCCACAGACAGCTTCTGATGTTAAATACAGCATTGCTTTCATGTTTGGCTCAATGCACAAAGAACTAGTTTAAAAGGATGCTCGCGCACGCACACATGTGTGTGTGTGTGTGTGTGTCTGTAGAATCAAGGGCTCACCTCCTCACTGGACCCACCCCCCACACCCCTCGCAGGAGTGACCACTCATCACGCTGGTGCAGACCTGCTCCCCTCCCTGCTCAGACCCTCCCTCCAGTCATTCTGGACACGGGGTCCACCGTCTGCAGGTTCCCCATCTCAGCTGCAGACACTGGGGCTCACCCGGCTCCTGTCCAGACAACCTCCCTGGCCCCACGTCCACCTCCAGGCCAGGTGAAGCCTGAGCCCCACTGACCACCATCCGCCCACTTGCGAGAGCCCCACTCTAAGAAGCAGAAGGACCAAAACCAGGCCGGCCACCCCGCCGGGGACGCACAGCCCCACCACCGACTCGGAGAGGGGCCGCCCTTTCCCTGAACTCAGACGCCCGGGGCTGCCCGGACAAAGCAGCTCAGTTCATGCATTTACTTCGTGTCTCATGATAGAGAACTGGGAGCAGATGGAGCAGTGGGGGGTGTCACCAGCTCTGATGCACAGGACATGCCTGCTCTCCGAAGGGACACTGCCGTCCTGGGTGATCAGAGGTCAACGCCTGGCCCTCTCCAGCGCAGGGTTGCTGCCAAATCTTTCTCCCTTTCATCCATATAGGTTAGGCTGAACACACCCTCTTAGCTCCAGTGACCAAGCTAGTGATGGGCATCTCTTTTATTGAACATTAAGGCAGCAGTCGCGGGCTCGGACAGCACTCAAGGAGACTGGAATCGGGAGACATGCCACGGACATGTGGGCAAGCCCCAGGCTGAACAGGTAGACAGAGCTCCCGGGGACGCACGACGGAGCAGCACTGAACCTGTCGGACCCAGCACCGCTCTGTTTGGTCTATCGTCCCATCGAGAACCCACAAGAACTGGAAGCACCTGCCAGCAGGTGCATCGACGGTGCCCGAGGGAAGGCGGGCCTCTGAGGACCCGGGAGACAGAAAAAAAAGGCAAACGGGTCCGTTTCACAAGGAACGCCTTCCCCAGGAGATGCCCCCACTGCAGCATGCTTGCGGCCATTTCCCACTCTCTGAGGAGGACCAGAAACCCCCCTCTCCAAAAGAAAAGCACGTGAAAGGAGAGACATCTCCGCGCACGGCCGCGCCCGTCGCCCAGCCCCGGCTCCCACGTTGGGTCGCAGCCCCGCCGTGAACACGGCTCAGCCCCAGCGGAACAGCCATCTGTCTGTCAAGCAGCCACATACCTTTCTCATTCAGGGTTTCTTCTTTTATCTTCCTCACGACTTCCAGGGCTTTGCCGTCATTATTTCCCGCTACGAGGAAAAGAAAAGGCATTTCTCAGAGGAAGGAAAGGACCCCTCGTGAAACAATGTTTTCTTGAGGTGCCAAGTGCCTCCTTGCAGGCTGGTGGTGAATGTGACCCTCAGCGCCGGGGGTGGGTTCAGTGTATCCACTGAAGACCGATTTCCGTTAGCCTGAACGGGCCACAAGGACGCATTGCTCTGACATTTCATTTTTTAACGATTCCAGGCACACAAGGCACCTGGTGGCACCATGACCATGGGGACTCCCAGAAGAGCCTGAGCATAAAAATGTCGGCAGAAATGTCAGCCTAGACACAGAACTCCCTAAGCAACACGTTTTGTTGTGTTTTGTTTTGTTTTTGTTTTTGTTTTTAACTGAAGTATAGTCAGTGACAGGGTGACAATTTCTGGTGCAGTGCACAAGGTTTCAGTCACGCATGTACATACATATATTCGTTTTCAGATTCTTTTCCATTACAGATGACAAGAAGATACTGAACACAGTTCCCTGTGCTCTACGTATAAACGATGTCTATCTAATTTATATATAGTAGTTAGCATCTGCAAATCTCGAACTCCCAGTTTACCTCCCACCCACCTCCTTTCCCCTTTGGTAACAATCAGTTTGTTTTCTATGCCTGTGAGTCTGTTTCTGTTTTGCAAAAAGTTCGTGTCATTTTTCAGATTCCACACATAAGTGATCTCATATGGTATTTTTCTTTCTCTTTCTGGCTAAGCAAATTTTTAATACCTTTTCTAAATTTTTGTTTTGAGCATGGAGTATTTAGATTTATTTATTTTTAATGGAGGTACTGGGGATTGAACCCGGGACCTCGTGCATGCTAAGCACGTGCTCTACCATTGAGCTACACCCTCCCCAACCTTCTTTTTTCTAATACAAAATCTTCAACTTTTTTTTCCTATTTTTAATGCTTTGGGGGGCTAGTAATTAGGTTTATTTCTTTACTCGTTTGTATTTTATTTTACTTTTTTAACAGAGGTACTGGGGATTTGAACCCAGAACCTCATGCACACTAAGCACACGCTCTACCACTGAGCTCTACCTTCCTCCCCCGGAACTTCCGAAGCAACTTTTGGTCCCACTGCGCTCCTGGGCGACTCAAGCTATAAAAACCATCTCGGGACATTTCCACCATCAGCTCAAGAAGCCCGTAAAAACAGGCAGGTGCGATTCCAGGAACGTTCGTTTTGAAGGATGGCCATGGGTGTCTGGTGTACGAGGAAGGCGCTACGGTTTAAAAAGACAAGGGCATTGGGGGGCAGTAAAGTTAATGAGGTTTCTTTCATGGCTGAGCAGGTGGCAATGAGGGTACAGTGTGAAGAATGGGGGTGTTGCGTTTCCAAACATCCCTGAGCAGACAGCCCTCGGTTTCAGGGGCGCACAGCGGGGCTGGTGCGCCCGGCGGGGCTGGTGCGCCTGGAGGGGAAAAGCTCAGTAGACCGTTTCCCAGGCACCAACTTTGTGCAGAGCTCGGCCTGGGGCAGCGTATCAGCCCCTCTGCAGGGTGAGCCAAGCCTGAAACTCCCTGAGGGGTGAGTCGTGGGAGAGCTTGGACAGAGGGCGATTGGAGCTGGCAGCTGGAGAACACAGGCGTGGGTGTGAAGTTTCGGGGCCCCCCACCCCCCGAGAACCAACAGGTGGAAGGAAGACACCAGCTGAGCGGCCTGGGAGGAGCACGTCCAGCCCACCTCGCCCTCCCTGCGGCGTCCAGCCCCGCTGCTGGTGAGATGGAAGTCCTCTCGGGTCAGACCGTCTTAAGGTCTCCAGGAAAATACACCACCAAGCGCAGCTTTCCAGGGGCATTTCTGTTCACAGACACTGTGTTTCCTCTGCACACGCTAACGAGGGTCTTCCCTGCCATTTCACTCCGTATTACAGACGCCGTGTCACTGACAACTGTCCCGGAGAAATCTATACCATGGCCCTTTCCAAAACCAAAAAAAAAAGAGAAGTGTTTACAGCCAAGAGTTGCAAATAAACACATAACAGAGGAGCAGGGGTGAACCCAGTGAAATCGGAAATGCCTTCAGCTCCATCTGGACACGGAATCGTGGCCAAGGACATCTTCCCGATGGAACCAAAAGGAACACATACGCTGTCGCTGCCTGGGAGGAGTTCAAAGTCACAGGCATCAAGACGACCGTCCTCCAAAAGCAATTCGCACCTCCGGCTCCCTGCAGGGAATTAACGTGATGCGGTTGCTAGGTTGTGGCTTGCGGAGTCTTCCAGTACTGATGAGGGGTGGGGGCGGGAAGGCGTGTCTTCCATCTCTAAATATTCTAGGTGGTAAAGACCCCCCCAAAAAAATCAAGGGTAAGCTGGGGCCACGGACACGTCTGAGCTAGTTTTTGAAATCTCTGTGATTTTTAAACATTCAGTTGCCATCTGCCACCGGGCTGCCCTCCAGTACTTAAACTGTCTTGGCATCAAGGGCTGGGAGGGCAGAAACTCAGAGGAAGTAACAGAGAAGCCCCAGTTCCCCGAAAAAGATAAGAGAGGCCAGAGAAAGCTGGCGGTGGTGGGAGGGGTGGAGCTGAGTGGCAAACTGGCCACGGTGCACGGTGCCCCTGGATGGGCAGGACACCCTGAGAACTCAGGCAGGCAAGGCTGGCACTGTGTGGGAGCGATGGTCGGGCACTTTGAGGAGGGCACGAAGGTCATCTTCAGCAGATGCCTCCTCTGAGCTGGGTCTGGAACGCTTGGCCGTGTACAGTGGCTTAGGATCCGTCTCCACTCACGGAGTAACGACTGCTCAGGAGGTCACACTCCACCAGATAGGAGGGGGCGCAGACACGGCAGGGTGACAACTCATACATGCCACGCGTCCCACCGACAGGCCACCCAACTCTCAGGGGAACCGTGTCACTTGGGAAGGACAACCTCTCATCTCCAGAACCCCTCCCTGAGGATGGCACCCTGCCCATGAGATTTTAAACATCCGCAGAAAGCCGCAGAACTCCCACTTGTTTTAAAAAAAAAGGAAAAAAGATGCTAAATTAAAAAATAATAAAATAAAGTGTCTAAAATTCCCCAAAAAATACAATAAAATAGGTAAGTGACAAGTTCATACTGTAGAGCACAGGTAACTATATTCAATATCTTGTAGTAACTTACGGTGAAAAAGAACATGAAAACGCACACAGGTATGTTTCTGTATGACTGCAATATTGTGCTGTACACCAGAAACCGACCCACTGGAAACTGGCTAGACTTCAATAAAATTGTATTTAAAAAAAAAAAGATTTTGAACCCAAAGCAGGGTCAGCAGACTACAGACCTAGGGCCCCATCTGGCTGGTCACTTGATGCAAAAAGAAAAAAACTTTGTTGGAAGATGGTCCACCAACCCCGTTCCTTTTTAAAGAGCACTGGTCGTGGCTGCTTTTCTGCTTGTAAGGGCAGAGCTGATCATGGTGAGAGACCTCTGATGGAATTTACCACCTAACCCACACCAGAAAAAGTCTGATCTAAAATCTCAGATGACCCTTCATGAAGAATTACGAAGAAGAGCGAAGGGTAGAGCTCACTGGCGGAGCGCATGCTTAGCATGCATGAGGTCCTGGGTTCAATCCCTGGTGCCTTCTCTAAAAATTAATAATTACCACCTCACCCCCCAAAAAAAGAATTATGAACAAAGAAGGACTGTCCACCAAAAGAAACAGTAAGAACTAAGATGCTGTGAATGGACGGGACACTGAATAGCTAATGCATTCATGGCCATTCTATTATGTTTGACTTGGACCCAGACAATCATTTCAAATCCTTAGCAAGTAACTGATTATTCTGTAAGTACTCATCGCTTCGGGACTGAGGAAATGTGAACCTGGCTATACCCACCTCTTACTCTGTATTTAAGATAAAAAGGCATTGTGTCCAATCATAACATTTCATGACGTGACCTTCTATCAAACCGTTATGGAAGAGAGAAAAATTGTCCCACCCAGGATATATTCAATTATCCCCTCAAAGACTCAGGGAGGAGATGAGAGTCCCCATGTGACTGGACTGATGGGACGGTCAACGCTGTGCCCCACAGTGGAGGGTGGAACAGAGGCATCGGAAGCTCAGTGGGAAAGAAGGCACAGGTGGGTGAGAGGTGTTGCTGACTCTTGGTTTAACTCAACAAAGGAAGGATCCTTGGTGCTCGGGTGGGTACTGTTCCTGATGGTCAAGAAGATCACCTAAATGGGGTGAGGACAGTCAGGGCTCCAGTCCTTGAATGCACGGGTGCCACACACTTAGTGATGTATGTTCACTGCATGTGTGTGCAGTACACACTCTTCACCCAACCACACCTCCTGGTGACTTTCCCAACTAGACTTCCTCTTAAACAACCACACTAAGGCAAAAAGCACAGAAATGGGACTTTTTTCTTTTTTTCTTTGTATTCCAACATTGCCCAGTTTCACAAAGAATTAAGAAGCTGAAGATGACAGCCCTGGAGGAGTCATGGGGACAGAGTAACCAGCTCCCCATCTTTGTTCAGACGGGAGGGTCCCTCTGGGTCCAGCTCCACCAGCGTCTTTCCACCACTAGCCCAGATCCAGTTGGTCATCAGAGGGGACCTATGACTTCCCATTCAAGAGGTGACCTGACTTTGACCAAGTCACCCAAACACTGGCAGAAACCCAAGACAACACTGGCAGAATCCAAGCTTGTCACGTCTCTAACGATACCACAGAGGCTGACCCACCACGGGAAGTCAAAGTCAGGGGGTTGGGATCCATCACCATCTCATTTGTTCTCCCAGCAAACTCTTGGGTTCTGTTCCGACCCTCTGCTCCCACACCCTAACTCCTGGCTGTTCTCAGGCCCCAGAGCGACATAAACAGATTGCACAGGTGCCCAAGTTGATCAGGAGCTCCAGAAATACACCCTCAGATGCACCCCTGTCTCCCACAAGACCTCCTAATCTGCAATCAACCCACTGTCACCCAAGGGGACGTACGGACACTCATAAAGTTGGTCGTTTCAGGTTCAAAAGCTTTTAACATGTCTGCATCTATTCAGAGAAAGGGACTCAGACACATTCCTGAAGGAAAGAACCCTTCACTCTTAGATTCCAGCCACCAGGATTGTAAGAAAGACGACCTCTGTCATTTAAGCTCCCAGGTTTGTCGTGCAATTTGGTATGGCAGCTCTAGCAAAGGAATTCACATTTACTGTTGTTTTAGGATGACTATTTAAGCAGAGTCTCCACTCAGGTCCAAAGAAAGGGCTGTCTCCATCCCGTTTCTTTGGTTTCTGAGTCTGACCCTTCACGTCTCCCGCATCCGACCGTTTGGTCGGTAAGGACGTCAATGCTTACAGACACAAATCAGCGAACAATGGTGTATGTCCCACGCGCTTTGAAGCACAAAGGCCCGTAGAAGGCAATCACCTATGATGACGTGCATGCCGAGCTTGGCCAGACACTTGGCGGTCGCGTAGCCGATGCCGTCCGTCCCGCCGGTCACGACAGCAACACGCTCGGGTTGTGCAGGGAAGACTGCAGAAGAAGGAAAAAAGAAAACAGAGTAAGGCTGAGAAGCAGAGCGCTCGTGGGCAGTAATGAAGCCACGAGGGAGGGCGTGACGCCCACGGGAGCTGTGGCTCGGTGTCTGTGGCTTCGCTCCTCTCGGATTCCTGCGGGCTCCCGGTGCGGGAATGTAAGACAGGGGTGTGCCCTGAGTAACCACAGCCCAGTCAAGACACCTGATGGGCACCTGCTCATCCCCCGCGGACAACCCCCTTCCCCCGAGAATGCTTCCCAGCACCGCGCGCATCCCAAAGAGCACGTCTTTGGTGGGGAGCCCCAGTGAGGCCTTTGGGCTCCCTGCAAAGTTCCCAGGCACCCAGCCCGGATTCTCCTCCAGGGATTCCAGCTGCATTTGGGGTTAGTTCCTGGGAAGACGGGCAGGATTAATAAAAATGCTATTCTCGTAGGCTCTGGAGGTGTGCAGAGAGGCGTCCCAGCATGGCGCTGCAGGAAGGAGCCGTACACAGGGTCCAAGGCCACCTCCCCTGTGCAGACGGGAGGTCTGAGGACCCCGGGTCTGAGACATGACGGGGGCGTGGGTCTCCCAACGGGGTGACCGGGGGCTTCCCCACATCTTGTCACCTTGGCATCCATCTGTACCTCCAGCCCCCAAACACGCAGGGGAACAGGTTCTGAGGGCGTCCTGAGCACGGGCAGTGCCGACTGCATACCCTGAGCTGGGATCCTGGGCTGCAGGGACGTCTTACAGCTCCGAGGGCGACCACCTTGGAAACTGTCTCAGGAGTCCCAACCCCCCGTCTCACAGCCAGCTTAGACAGGCACCGAGAGTTAAGACGGAAGGGACTAGAATAGAGGTTCCCCAGGCTTCCCGATTTATGGCACACAGACTGCCCAGATGTGTTTTCACACCTCGGCTAAGGACAAACAAACCAAATTTAAATATATGCATATAATATCTGTTTATATAAATGTAACTGAAACATATGTTTATACTTAAATACTTATACACATTAACTTTTTTGTTATATAAAAATTATATATTTCAAATGTTAAATATTTTACATTTTAGCATATTAAAATAAATTCAATATATAAATACATTTAACATATAAATTAAGTTGATTAGATAAGAGTAAATAGGATATGTAATTTAATAAGATACAGTACAAAAATAAATTTTTATCTTAACACAAATATTCATAAATATAAATATTTACAAACATTTAAATTTTATAATTGTATGTATACATTGTATGAATACATATAACATTCATAAATATTTATATTTATTTTAGGTTTATTGTATATATATGAAATTTTTATGTATTATATTAATATTTGTAACATTTTAAAGCTTATTTATTTTAGATGTGCAATATCCACACCCATTAAGTACTTTATACTTTTATTTATGCAGAAGTTAATTTATAAATTTAAAATGTTAAATATTTTGCATGTTCATGTCAGTGTATTAAAATATATTTAGTATATAAATACATTAAACATATAAAATAAGTAAATAAGATAATAGCAAATAAGATGTATTACTTAATAAAATATAGTCTAAAAATACTTTTAACAAAAATATTGATAAATATATGTATCTATATTAAAATTTTACATTTATAATATCTACATACAATATACGTATTTATAACATACATTTACTTTACCTGCAATATTTATATTATTTATATTTGTTTATATATCATGTGAATATATTTATAAATGTATTCAATTTATATGTATATATTAAATATATTTAATTTATGTAAAAATTATATTCATATATTTTAAAGATTAACTATTTTACATATTTGCTTTACATGTAAATAATACATTTAATACACAAAGTGTATTTAATATATAAGATGAGTACACAGATAACAAACAGGATGTGTTATTTAATAAGGTGGATAACATAAAAATAAAACTTTATTTTAACAGAAATATATAAAATATGCATTATGTGAAACAAACATTAAATATAGAATATGTGTAAGTAAACGCTCGAGGTAAAAATTCAAAACTTGCTACCAGAGATAAAGAATTCTCTCAAAGGCTCGTTAGCACACGCAACGCAATTAAGGCCGAAACCAGTCAAGTTGACTGTAGCTTGACAGAAATTATTCAAGCTAAACCACAAAAAGAACATTTTTCAGGCGGGAGTGGGCAGAGCTCAATGGTACAGCACAACCCTAGCGTGCACAAGGTCCTGGGTTCAAGCCCCAATACCTCTGTTCAAATAAATAAATAAAACCTAATTACTCCCGTTCACCCCCAATAAAAATACAAAAGAACATTTTTTTAAACAGGGAAAGAAGACGCAGTGTTTCCGAGCACTGGACACCGTCCAACGTGGACCACACGCTCCTGGACCCCCAGAGGGAGGCGGCGGCTGTGAGTTACGAGACGGGGAGGCTGGAAATTCTCCAGCAGGAGACAGCACCCGAGCATTGCGGGCTCGATCTCAGTTCCCTTTTCTGTGGCTTTGTGTGTTTTCTGGCAGTGCACAGAAATCACTTCCCTCACGAGTCACCGCTCTCTGGCGGAGCCAAGCTGTCCACACATTCTGTGATCCCTCTACACACACACCCTACTGCATGTGAATCAGCCACAACGTCCAGCAGCCCCAACGGGGCGTGAACACGTCTGTAGCTTTTACAAGGTGACCGTGTGTGGTGTTTAATGTCACATGGACATTTCCCACCTCAAAGAACCGACCACAGGATGACCAAATAATGTTGTAAACTGGTTCACGGGTCCATGGGATGTCACAAAATGAACTGGGACCCGGGACGTGAGTGGCTTTCTCGCCTTCCCACGTACATGGGAGGTTTCAAGGCTGTGGACAAGAGCCCCTTGTGTCTCCAACACAAGGTCCCCAGGAGCTGCCTTTCTGCAGTTACTATTGGAAAAGCAGCCTTCACCCGCACAAAAAGATGCTGAACATCGCTCATCAATAGGGAAATGCAAACCAAAACCTAGTTGTGCCCCCACAAAAAATAAAAATAAATGCATTTTAAAAGAAAAAAAAAGAAATCTCAAGTGAAGAGATCCAACGGAGACAGATTTTCGTGGGCACCTGCAATGTCCCCAAAGCTGTCTATTCCTAAGTAGAGGCTGCGGGAAATTGAACAAAGGTATTCATAACGGCTCCCACGTGAGCAAGGTCTACAGTCCCTTCACCGGGGCGGACGAAACTCAGAGAACCCTGAATCGGGTGTAGGGCATTGACCAGAAAACGCAAGAGACGGCCAGGAGAGAGGCTGCCCCTTCCAGCCCCCCGAGGACGGTGTTTGCACCTCCACCACCTGCATCCTGCCACGTCACATCCACACAAAAGGTTCATCCGCCCATGGAGGCCACACCCCCACGGAGGGGATGAGAAGGGGCATCTGGGGATGGTGAGTGGAGGGATGGCGGGGAGAAAGGCACTGGACTTGAGGTCAAGGAACCCATCCCTCCAAGATGTGCTAAGGACAAGATGACCATCCTGACGCTGGGAAACCAGGGCAGCCATGAGCCAGTCCCGACCTTCCCCAGGGAGTGGACTTCCAGGGTAAGCGGCTGACACCACCCTCCTAGAACAGTCCGGGTGTCAGGCTGTCAAATCCCCGAGCCCTGGTCTGGGAGGTGCACCTTCCTCTGCCTTCTGCCGAGAGCCAAGGACAAGGATGTCACAGGTCCTCCCTGGTCATGTGAACATCAAGGCTCCCAGGATGACTTAACACGTCAACCTGGCCGGGCTGTGGGGTCCAGATACCTGGTCAGACATCACTCTGGGTGTTTCAGTGAAGATGTTTTGTTGGATGAGATGAACGTTTACATCAGTGGGCTTTAAAGAGGAGAAGGTATAGCTCAGTGGTAGAGTATGTGCTTAGCATGCACAACGTCCTGGGTTCAATCCCCAGTCCCTGTGTTTACATAAATAAAGAAACATAATTACCTCCCCAAGCCACACACACAAAAAGTTAAATTAAAAAAAAATTTCAGTGGACTTAAAATGAAGCAAATTGTCCTCCCTGGTCTGGGTGAGCCCTGTCTAATCAGGTGACAGCCTTAATAGAATAAAGACTGAGATTCCCCAGGGAAGAGGGAATTCTGCTTCCACGGAGCCTTTAGACTCCAACTGCAAGTGTCCCATGGGTTTCCAGCCTACTGGTACACCGTGCAGATTTTGGACCTGCTACACCCCAAAATTACATGGGCTAATTCCTTAAAATGAATCTCTCCATAGATAGATAGACAGATAGATAGATAGATAGACAGACAGACAGACAGGATGGATGGATGGATGGATGGTTGGATGGTTGGATGGATGGATGGATGGTTGGATGGATGGTTGGATGGTTGGATGGATGGCTGGATGGACAGATGGATGGATGGACAGATAGACAGGTAACTTGAAAGATGACAGACAGTACATGCATAGATGATATACTGAAAGGTGACAGATAAATAACAGGGCACAGATGGATAGATAACTCAGATAGATAGATACAGACATACATAAAGCTGCAGATACAGTATGAGATAAGAAGTGAGACATTTCTATTGTAAGTATAGCCCATGTAATATTTGGGATCGCTTATACTAAAAAAAAAAAAAAAAGCCTGTGCATTATGTATCTTGCGTCCGTGCTGACGGCATTGCTGCTGAGAGAGTGGACTCTTGAGCCAAATCTGTGCAAGCACATCCTGGGTGTTCCATCCAGAACACGCTTTCTCATTTCGGGCAGCATTGGACAAACGTTTCCAAAGCTCTCAGTTCCGCCTCTGCTTTGATGACCGATGCCATCTCGAAATCGTATCTCCCTCCTTGCATTTCACCCTGAGTACTCAGGAGAAACTAGTCCATGCCACTGACTCTGAGCTGAGAAACTTCCTTCCGAAACATCCAAGTGCACCACGCACAAGGTCCACGGTCCACAAAACACGGGGACACGGCTCAGCCAAGCTCTTTGCCACAAGAGCCTCGGTTCCGGTGCCCAGTAACACATTCTCCCCAAAAGCCCTTCTGATGCTCCCACGTCTGCCTCCATTCTGCTCCTGGGGACACAAGTCCACCTCTAGGACCCCCAAGGTTTCCCAGGCAGTCTCCCTGTTCCCCCGGAGCCCTCCTCAAAGGCACCGTCCTCGTCCACATCTCCACCAGCACTGCCGACACCTCCTCCGTCCTGCACCTCAAACCCCCTGCACCTCTGCCCGCCACCCACGCCGCACCCACTTCTACATGTTTAGGAGCCTGTTCCCATGTCCTCCCACACCTGGATGAGTGTCCCAGGGCCATCATAACAGAGGCCCCCAAACGAGGAGCTCTCCCCAGTTCCAGGGACCAACGTCCAAATTCACAGCGTCGGCATCAGGGAGCATCCACCCCAGGCCTCTGTCCTCGGCATGTGGA